CCTTTTTTATACTTACCCTTAATATCATCCTTCATCAATAAATTAGACTGTTAAAAACAACTTATCAAATTTCCTGACTGCTGTAAACGCTTGCCAATGAACTATCTCACCATGCAAAGACCCACCTTTTGTCTATACAGGGGTTCAAGAAGCCTGGACATTTCCATGGGAGCGAGCTTGAGATTTGGTTGCGCCTTCTTTCCATCCTTTTTGGCGAGCTCTTTGTTCCCATATAGCCGTCAGCTTCTTCTGTGCTACTAGTGCTGCTTCAGCCTTTTCTCTTGCTTCTTCACAGGTTTCCATACCTGAGTTGCATTTGTCTGCTTCTTTTTGGTACTGTGAGGTTTTTTTCTTGGCCTCGAGTAGAGCCATATCAGCACGTTGTTGATTGTCTAGGGCCTCAGTTTCGCGTAGTTTTAGTTCTTCTGTCAAGAGCTCTGCGAAGTTCTTTTCAGTGTCTTCACCCACTTGTGGGTCGCGCTTTGCACAATCAGCTAAACATGTGCCAAACGGCAAAGAAACATTAGATCTAAGAACTTAGGTTAATGCAGCAAACAGTTAAATGATCGCAGAAACCATGTACGATTCAAGACATACAGAAAAAAAGACAATTTCACCACTGATGGACTTGGTTTGGCCTTATGCAGTTCAAATCTTGTGTTTTTCTTTGGATAACAGTTTAATATGCCATGTTTTAATTTTTTTAATCCATTACACGTGAATTATTAGTTTCTAAGAGGATATCAGCACATGTCTGGATTTAACGTGAACTTGTAATATTTTAAGACTAAGTGATCAAAATTAGAGGAGAAAAAAACATATAACAGCCAGAAAAATTAATGATTGATATGACAAAAACCAATTTAAAAGGTAAAAGAATCTATAAGATTGAACCAATAAGGCCAAATTTTGCCGGGTTGATGCATTATTTGCTCATCTTTATATGACCGATCCACATTTAACATACTTGCCAACTTGGAATAACAAACTTGAGGACAACGGTTTTGGAAGATGAAAACAGGCTAACGAAGATTTCCCAATAAATCTACAAGCTTCACTTAACTATACTTTATACAAGTTCTAGAACAAAACATAAAATTTACATGGCGAGCAATCTATGCCACCTAATATGGATGCTAATTATCTTGTAGTGCTAACGCTCATGAAGTAAGCTTTCCTTTCTCAACCAACCTAGCTCAAGGGGAAAACATGAGTGAGGTTGACATTAATTCATAAATGAGCAGGATTTTATTATTCGGATTATAAACAGCCCAGCAAGGATATTCTCCACTAAATTGTTTCCATTCTTGAGCTTACGAACTATAGTAAGGTGTGCAAAATGAATATAATGAACATAATTCACGAAAACACATTTATGACGGCACCTGCTTATTCCTCTCTGCCACAGAAAATAAAGTTGGATTAAGTTTGAACTTAAAAACCAAAAAAAAAGGTCGAGTAATTGGGAAGGAAAAACGTAGCTGATAAATAAAGTTGTAACAAATTTTTCAAAAGCTTAAACCAGTAAGAAAGAGTCCAATTCATTATTTTTATTATATTCTAACACTTCCCTAACCTGCAGAGGGCTTAGAATGTGGAACAAGAGGAAATAACAGATGGATACTTAGAATGGAGATTTGAAACCAGGATAAATATAAATTGTAGTTATGATTTTCCAAACATTTAAGCTCGTA